GTTCTCAGGCTAAGAACCAGAGGTTTGAAAACGCAAGCAGCATCTCAATGACAGCATCTTACCGGTCTGATAGGGATGTGCTCGAGGCGGCGGGGGTAAGCCCCTCTCCCACTGCTAGGGGGTGGGTTTGAAATGCAGGCAGTTTGATATCTGCCCCCCTGTTGGCCTCTGTTGCCAGCCCCACTGCACAGGGTGCAAAGACTGAGGCCCAGAGAGGGCAATGGGCTCCACTAGGGTCACATAGTGAGAGGAGGCAGGGAAGTTGGCCCCAAACTCAGCTGCTGCAGGTCCCCCGACCTCCAACACCTTGGGACCCTGGTCTGAAACTTGGAGTGGGCAGCCAGGGGGCCACCCTGATACTGTGACCAACTGGGATTTTTGAATCAGAGTCCTAATTGTGTGACCTTGAGCAAGTGCCAGGCTTTCAGAGCCTCAGTTTCCTCATCTGAGAAGTGGGGATAATAGGACCTACCACCGTTTCTGTGCACAGCAAGAGAGGCGATGCATGTAAAAGCCGTGAGACAGAGCCTGGGACATTGTGAGCGCTCAGTAAATGGAAACAGGCCTGCAGCTGTTCCCCCTCCCTCTCCCCTCCACCACGTGGGCTGGAAACTCTTAGTCTGCCCCACAGCTGTGTTCCAAAGTGCTGGACGCTGCCCTCTCAGGAGACAGGGCGGATCTTCCCCACCCCTGTGTCTCTGTTCCCCAGGCATCAGCTGCCAGCTGGCTTCCCGCCTCATCACAGGAGGGAGTGGAAAAAAACCCCAGCCAGGGGGACACTGTAGTCCCGCTGGCTGTGTGACCTGGAGACAAGTCAGTGCCACTCTCTGGACCTCCGTCCTGAGCTGGGGACGGGAGGTAAGAAGGATGACAAAGAATGAGGTCTGAGTTCACCCCTCCTTTGTGCATCGATCATGTGTGGTGACTTTAAATACATTTGCACACCCATCAGTTCTGATAAGCCAGCATACGTGGACTGGGGTGATTTTAGCTCCATTTGACAGATGGGGAAACTGAGGCCAGGGAGGAGAAGCTATGCAGCTTTCTCTGCAGGGGAGAAGAAGCGTGGAGAAAAGGGAACAGAGAAGGAGAGAGCTGCTGAGAAGGAAAGAAAAAGGCAGGAGAGAAGGAGCAAGAGACAGACGGAGACAGGGAGACACAGTCACAGAGAGACAGAGAGAGACTGAAAGAGAGGCCAAGACTCAGAAAGCTATAATAGGAGAGTCCCAGACACACTGCTGTGTCTTCAATTGTGTCTGGCCCCGAAACTCACACATCGGAGTCCTATTCTTGTTATTCAGTTGCTAAGTCATGTCTGACTCTTGTGACCCCGTGGACTGTAACCCACTAGGTTCTTCTGTCCCTGAGATCTCCCAGGCAAGAATACTGGAGTGGGTTGCCATTTCCTCCTCCAGGGGATCTTCCTGACCCAGGGATCGAACCTGTGTCTCCTGCATTGGCAGGTGGATTCTCTACCACTGAGCCACCAGGGAAGTCCCTGCTGGAGTCCTAACCCCTCTCCCTCTCCAAACTCAGAGACACTTGGAGACAGGGTCTTTGCAGAGGTGATCAAGTTATGAACGAGGTCATTGGAGCGGGCTCTAATCAATAAGCCTGGTGTTCTCATAAAGAGGAAATTTGGACACAGGGATACAGAGGACAGACGATGTGAAGACAGGGGGCAGGTGCCTGTCTGTAAGCCAAGGCCTCACAGGAAACCCACCCTGCCAACACCTTGATCTCTGGCTTCCAGCCTCTAGAACTGAGACAATGCATTTCTGTTGTTTGGGCCTCCCCAGTCTGTGGCACTTTGCTATGGCAGCCCAGGCACACCGAATGACTTAAACACAGAAGCAGAGAGACTGTGGGAAGGTCCATGAAGGGCTCTGGGTGTTCTGGAGGCCAGGGAAAAGGTGGGGGGCCTGGTTCTTCAGAGACACTGTCCCTTTCCCCTCATGGGCTTCACCGAGACCTCAGTTGCCTGGGCAATGGGAAGCTTCACTCTGGAGGAACTAAGGTCTGCCATCCCCATGCTTCCTTCCTCCCATGCCCTCCCTCAGCAGCAGACTCCACGTGTCCTGGGCCCACCCCCCTACTCTGAACCAGGGCTATTTTTGAAATGTGTTTGGTCACAACCTGAGACATGCAGGACCCTAGTTCCCCTGCCAGGGATCATACCTGTGTCCGCTGCATTGGAAGGCACAGTCCAAACCAGGAGACTGCTTGGGAAGCCCCTGAGTCAGGGGTATTTTTAGCTGATGTTCCTTGGCTATGCACCTCCTCCGCAGGGTCAGCCCTGACTACTCCCAAGCACACCACCCTGTCCCATCACCTCCCTAGTGCTTCCTTGTCCTTCCAACAACTGCGTTCATGTACTCATTTGCAGGCTGTATGTCCAGCAGTTTGGACCCAATTTATCAGGCTCTGTGAACATGCACCCGCATGTTTAGAGAATTGATACCGAGCAATAAAAACTGAGCAACCCCCAGCTTGCCCTGAAACCGCCGTTTTCAAAAATTTCATCAGTGACTGAGAAATTCATTTCACCTGGCAACCCATGAAACGCATGTAGAAATCATGCAAAAGGTTCCTGGAGCAATTCTTACTGCGTATGACACATGCCAATATTTTCTATTCTGTTCTCTTCCTTTGATTCTATTCGGCTCTATTCCATCCCATTCTCAGAAAATTTTGGTTACAACCTTCTGACTTCATAATCCACTAGTGGGTTTCAGTGATACAGCCCTGGAGAGAAGGTTCTCAAATTCTTGCTGCAAAGGCAGCTGGGACTTTTCTGCTTCTGTCCCCTCCCACATCTACTCTAACTTGTTTTCCACTCTTGTCATCCTAGGGCCCTCCAGCCCAGCCAGAGCCAGGTTGTGATCTGCAAGGAGCCGCATGAATACCCGTTTGTGATTCCCAGGTGGGTGAGTCCCTTCTGCAATGTTTCCCCAACATGCTCTCCCAAACCTCCTCTGGTCTCCTCCCTGTGGGCACTGGGATGCTGGAGAGGAATGATCTGGAGGGGAAGGGGGAGAGGAAGAGAGGGCTAGGCGGGCAGGTGGCAGCTGCTGTAGTCCTTCCGGTGGAAAATCACAGCTCCCCTGCCCCCTATACCAACCGTCCTCCGGGATAACATTAGTAGTCCTGGCTGCCACCGAAGGACCATCTCAATATAAGCTCTATGATCAGGCACACAACTCCCACTGGACAGATGATGAAACTGAGGTTCAGTGAAGGAGAGGGACTTGCCCCAGATCTCATAGCTCAGAAGTGGCTGCCAAGAGGGGATCGGAACTCAAGCAGCCAGACTCTCAAAAGTTCGGAAGCCAGAGAGATTCGGAAAGTGAAAGAAAGTGTTAATCGCTCAGTTGTGTCTGACTTTGTGACCCCATTGACTGTAGCCTGCCAGGCTCCTCTGTCCATGGGATTCTCCAGGCAAGAATACTGGAGTGGATAACCATTCCCTTCTCCAGGGGATCTTCCCGACCCAGGGATCGAAACTCACTCTTCTGTATTTCAGGCAGACTCTTCACCGTCTGAGCCACCAGGAAGCCCAGAAAGATTTTTGAAGGGCAGCCTGATTCAGGGCCCCAGGCCTCAGTTTCTGTTGGTGAAAGAGAAGACCTGGATATGGTGATCTCAGAGGTTGCCTCCACATCTGACCTTTGCATGACCACTCTCCTGGGTCATGCCAGAGGGATGCGAGCAGAGTTGACTTTTGGTGCCTGTTCCTGGTTTTGGGCACCACAGCCCACATCCCACCTGCCTTTTTCCCTTCTGGTCTATCTCAAGGTCAAGGTCTCTGCCCCTCCCTCATTCCAACTCTTCCAGGGTCGGGTCCTCTGCTGAGATCAAGTGAATCTGAACTCCCGGGTGGGAAGCTGACACGCTCACTAGGTCCATATACTGGGGCATGGGTACCTTAACCCAGGCATTTCCAAAGTTGGTATGATCCAGGTTCCCTTCCTCAGTGAAATCCTGCTGCGAAAACCAGTTCACAAAAGAGAGTCCAAAAAGGGCTGATCTCGTTAAAATGAAAGCAGAGGCTGGCTTCTTGGCCAGCCCCCCCTCCTGCCACTAGGCCGTGTTGTCTCAGGGGTTCCTAAAGCCTGGCTTGAAAACCATAGTATTAGCCCCATGTAATGGTGATATTTCAGGTGTGGCCTTTAGGGCCACAGATATTGGACAATATTGGCTTGCTTGAGCCTCCACATGAGATGGGTATGGCCTGGGGCAGGGTATGGAAACCCTTTACAACTCCAAAGACAACACAGCACAGACTCCAGGAATCCCACAGTTCTGAATTTCAATCCCTGCCCTCCACCTGGGTGGCCCTCAGAAAGTATCATACCTCTCTCAGCCTCTGCCTCTCCATCTGTAATAGGGACATGATAGAATTGGGGGGGTGGAGGAGGTGGGTAGTAAATGAGATGGTGCAGAAAAAGAATTTAGTAAATAGCAGACATGGACTATACACCATTATGGCTTCCCAGGTGGCTCAGTGGTAAAGAACCCGCCTGACAGTGCAGGAGATGCAGGTTTGATTCCTGGGACCGGAAGATCCCCTGGAAGAGGAAATGGCAACCCACTCCATTATTCTTGCCGGGAAAATCCCATGGATAGAGGAGCTTGGCGGGCTGCAGTCCATGGGGTCGCAAAGAGTCGGACATGAGTGAGCGACTGAGCACGCGCGCACACAAAACCAGTGTAGCTGGAGCTATGGCTCCATCACTTGTGAATTGCACGATCCGGGATGTGCTACTAACACTCCCCATGCTGCAAATTGTTCGTTATCTGTAAATTGGGGCTGATGACGCTCGCTCCCTCATAGGGTCCTCATTCCTGGAGATAAACGAGCGTTAAGTTGCTTAGTTAACTCTTGGCACAAAGTCAATACTTAATAGACGCTAGGTATTACTTATGATTTTTATAATTACTGTAATTCTTTGTTCCTAGCCCTAGTGGGCTGCCACCCCTGCGCCCAGGGCCCGGCTTACCCCGGCGGGATGGAGGCGCGTGCGCTCACGCTGGTGGCGCGCTGGGGCCCGGGCCGGTTGAGGTTGTTCTGCCCCGGGGTGGGTGCGCCGCCGGGGGCGCTCGGGCTCCGCGGGGGCGCGCCAGGGGGCTGCGCGGGCTCGGCGGGGCCGGCGGCGGGCGCGGCCCAGAGCGCGGCGCCGGCGAAGGTGGCGCTGGGGCGCACGGCGAGCGTGCCCGCTGGCCCTCCCGGAGGCGGCTGGGGCGGCGGGGGCGCGGGGGGCGCCTTGCGGCGCTGCGAGGCCAGGATGGCGTTGGAAGCGGCGCGCGTGCTGTTGACCAGCAGGCACTGCTGGCACGAGCAGGGCTGGCCGGAGCTGGCGCCCACGGGCCACGACTGCGATTTGGGGATGGAGCCGACGGTGAGCGGGTAGGCGAGGTCCAGGCGGCGGCGCAGGCGGCGGCGCCGGCGCGTCTGGCGGTTCATCTGCGACATGCTGTTGAAATAGATGAGGTAGCAGAAGCCGAGCGACGAGAGGTCGAGCCACGGGTGCTGCTTCTCGTAGGCGTTCTGGATGGTGATGCAGATGTCCATGTCGTAGGCCGTCCACGCGCCGCCGTCGTTCTCCCACTCCCACACGATGCCCTTGCCCGGCGCCGACGACGGGTCGTAGAAATTGCGCCGCACTGGCCGCATGGTGCCTGTGCTCACAAGCGGGGCGGGAGTCAGGACCCGAGGGCTGTGAACCTCCGCGGCCGGGCCGGGGCGGGGTCGAGGTCGGGGTGGGGGGTGGTCAGGGCAGGCCAGAGGGGCGGGAGACGACCCCGGGGGGTCAGTATACGCGCAGGAGCGAGCTTGAAGGTCAGCACAATATGGGTTGGGGCCAGCGGAGCGCAGGGTGGGGGCGGAAGGCAAGGAAGTGGGGTGTCAAGACAGTACGGGGATGCCAGTCAGGAAAGGGAGGAAGGGAGGCAAGCGGCCCCACCTTTCAAGGGTCGACACAGGCACCTAAACAGTGGCCATCACAGGCTGGGGGGTGGGGGAGGGGGCGGGGAAGAAGGGCGAAGCCGGTGTGGGATCTGTTTAGACCAGGGGGGAGCTGGGAAGCAGAGTCAACGCCTGGGGTGAGGCCAGGGATCAACAGAGGCCACCTCCGTGCAGACACCAGTGGCCCTTTTTTCCTTCATCCGTCCACTCATTCAGTCATCAGTCCATCCATTCGTTGATTACTTCAAGCACAAATTCATTTATACATTCTTTCATTCCTTTATTCATGTCTTGGTTCACACATTCATGTATTCCTCAGTTCATTGGTTCAGTAATTCTTTCATTAGCCCAATCACCCATGCCTGCTGCCATTCATACCTGCATTTATTCTCCCCCATCAACGTTATCCATGATTTCAGTCATTTCTTCACTTACCACCATCCTGTGTAAAAATGGCACCACCTCTACATGCCATCTTTCCCCTCTTCATACCTTCTTTCCCCTCTCCTTCCCTGCTCGGGTTTTCTCCATCTGGTATACTTTCTATTTTACACATCTATCTTGTTTTCTGTTTGTCTCTTCCCACTAGAATGTCACTGCCACAAGGCAAGGACTTGCTTTATTCACAGCCGTGTCCCCAGTGCCTGCTCACAGTAGGTGCTCACTAGATAGTTGCTGAATATATGAATGAATTCATTTAGTTCAGACATTGATTCATTCAGGACTTGGTTATTTTAGTCAGTCATGCTTTTTGCTATCCTTGCATTGATCCATTCCTTCATCCACTTATTCATTCCTTTTTTCCATACATCTGTTTATTTGTTCCTTCTTTCAACAAACACACTACCTGTCTGCCCTGCAGAGAGCTCCGCGCTGAGAGGTCATTTCAAATGAATATAACCATATAATAACCTCAGCCAGGTGGGTATTCGCGCCCCCATTAAAAAAAAAAGAGGCCCTGAAGTTTGGCTCCCAACCTCTGCTCCATGTTTCCCAGTTCTAGATGCTTCTGAGAGCAAGGCTCTGTGGATGCTGGGTTAAGCAGAGATGAACGTCCAGGCTGCAGGACTTCTCAGTGCCTTTAGCCTGCTCTGTGCCTTGCGGCCAGTGTGGAGAGATTCTTTTGCAAGGTTCACATGACACAATGGCAGGAAGGCTGCACCCTTGACTGCTCCTCAATTGTGGGCAAATCCCTTCAGTCTCACTAAGTCTCGGGGGCCTCATCTTGAAAATGAAGGTGATACTAATCCATAAGCGACCCCTCCCCTCTCAAACCAGGCTGTTGGGAGGATTCAGTGAGAAGAGCCACAGAGCACAAGGTCTTAGTGGGGCCCCAGGGCTGGGAGGCAGGCAGACCTCACTTCAAATCCCAACTGCCTAACTTTCCAGCTCTGTGTCTGTGGTCAGGTGATGCAATCACTCTGAACCTCAGTTTTCTCATCTCTAAAATGGGCACAAGCAGACCTTACTTATGATGGTCTTAAAAGAATCCATCAAGACAAATACTGTCTGTACTCTGATGATTCCAATATCCTCTCTCCTGAAAGCCAGACTTGTGTCTCCAGCAGCTCCCTCAGTAGCTTCCCATACAGGTTCAACAGGTTTCTCAAACTCAGCTCGGCCATAGCACAGCTGTGATCTTCCTATCCCTAACCCCAAACCCGTTCCTCCTGAAATCTTCCTTGTTGCAGTTAAGCAACTTCATCTTTCAAGCTGCTCAAGCCCCAAACCCCCAATCCTTGGACCCACCCCTGACTTCTCATGTCACACCCCATGTCCAACCTATTAGTAAAATCCTGTCATCTCTGTCTTCAAATACATCCCACACCTGACCACTTCCCCCTCTCCCCAGCACACCAAATCTATCTGGTCTAAGTCACTATGTCCCTCCTGTCTGGACCATGGCAGGAGCCTCATGACTGTTCTCCACTTCTGTCCTTGCCTTCTGTAGGGTCTGTTCCCTCCACCACAGCCAGAGGCATCTCATTCAAGTCAGATCACATCTTCTTTGGCTCAAAACTTTCCCACGGTTCCCTGCTTACTTGGAGTCAAAGTTGAAGTCCTGGCCATGATCTGCAAAGCACGGCATGGTCCATAAAGCTCTGCAAGGCCCCACGGGCCTACAGAGTGCCCCCTCACTCACTCCCCGGTGTGCTGCTGCTCAGTGACCCAAATCAGTGTCCACCCTCAGGGCCTTTGCATGTACTGTCCCCTCCACCTGGAATATGACCTCGCCACTTCCACACATTCTCACAGTTTCCTCCCTCCTTGCTTTTAGGTCTCTGTTGGAACATCCGCTCTTTGGAAAGACCACCTGCCATTGCGCTCCCACTGCCATCCTTCTCCCTTTCTCAGGGTCTCTCCCTGGCACTCAGGGCTGCCTCGTGATACATTCATCTACAGACTTGCTTTGCTCTCTGTCTCACCCCCAAGGTGAGGGATCCTGCCTGCTTTACTCCCTGCCTCGCGCAGTGCCTGGCATGCAGTGGGTCCTCTCTATCTTGAGGGTGTTTCTACTGTTAACTGGCACAACCCCAGGGCGCCTGGCCCTGGAATCTGCAGCCAGATGGATGAGGGCCCATCATGGCGCATCCCGAGGACCCCTTCCTCCCCGTGCCTTGCTCCGGCTTCTCTCTTCTGGCTCAGACTATGCCCAACCTTCAGTGGGTCCCTACCCAGGGCTGAAAAGGCTTCTCTGCTCTCTCCTCTGCTTGCATCCCAAGGGCTATGGATGACTCATGGCCCTTGCCAAGCGCCCAGAGAGCTGGGGTAGTGGAGGCAAGTGAGGGGGGCATGGTGGGCATGGGATCCTCAGGCTCCTATAACATCCAGTCAATTACATGACAATTCCTGCCCTGGGCCTCCTCTTTCTCCTGTCTGCTTTATCATTTTAATTCAGTGTGCAAAAATTGATTTTTTTCCTTGACAATGGGCAGGCCTGTGAGGGGATTAGTTAGAGGGAAAATCCGGGATCCTGCTCTGGCTTTGCTCCTGAGGCCTGGTCTTCCTCTCTCAGAGCCTCAGTTTCCCCATCTGCAAAATGAGAGTTCATGACAGATGATCCTCATGTCTGATGGGGCTCCCAGTAAGGGTTAAGGCGCTGTGTTACTCGGAAGGTGTAACCCCTGGATAGGAAGGGAAGGGAAGGGGTGGGAACTTGCCATATTTAAGCACGTCTGTGCGCCAGGTCTTGAGCTGGGTAGGGCGGGATCAGGGGCAGAAGATTCGGAGTGAAGTGGTTGAGAGAAACAACTCAGATGTCTCACAAGCCATGTGCAAATTCCGGCTCCACATTTAGCCTCAGTGTCCTCATCTGTCAAATGGGGGTATTAATACCTACCCCCCAAGGAATTACTGTGGGACAAAATAAGATAATGCATACTATAGGTGCTTGGCAGAGAGCTTGGCTACAGTAAGTCCTTGATGAATGTTAGCTAAGATGCCGTTATTATTATTTACATTACCACATTCACCCTTTCCCACCCCTCAGTCACTTGGTAAACTCCTATTCACCCAATAAAACCCTCTACATGCCCACCTCCTCCAGGAAGTGCTTTTCCATTCTGTTGTTACAGCTAGCACATGCTGCTTTTTATTGCATGTCTGTCCTTGCACTGTCAATAAGCTATTTGTTTTTGTTCTTGTTCTTAATCTCTCTCACTGGTTGATGACTTTCAGGAGGGCAAGGATTTGGTCACATCTATGTTTTTGTTCCCAGCACTAGGCACAAGGCACGTCAAAGGACACGTCTGCAACTGAAACAAGCAACCTACTTGGCACAGGTCAGGGCTCAGAGGGAGTGGGAAAGGGGAGGGGCTGGTCTTGATGGAGAGGGAGTGCAGACGTGGAGGGCAGGAGCCAAAGTGCACATGGGGTCCCGGGAAAGGCGGGGACAGGGTTCCAAAAGTCGGCGTTGGCCAGCTCTGCAACAAAGGACTCCGGGAGCTCCTCCCAGCCAGGTCAGGACCAGCCAGCCCAGGCATCCCTCTCTCCAGGGCTCTATTTACCAGGTATCGATTTTCCTGCCTGTTTACTGGTAGTTATTAAAGGCTGCGTCCCTGGAGTCCTTTTCAAACGAGATCGGAACCTGGCGAGCTGGAGTAATTAGGGCAGCTGCCGTTCACCCCGCCTGGCCCCGCACCCCGCAGCGCCCAGCGCTGCCTGCCCGTCCGTCTATCTCCCCAGCTCCCACTGGCCTTGGACCAGGCCGAGGGGCCGGGGGGTGCCAGCTGGTTCCCTGGGGAGCCGCCTGGGCCACGATCTTGAGATGTGCAAGGGAGCAACTGCGGAAACACCCTTTCTCCTCCCCAGTGGCCTTGGCCTAGATTTTTGGCCAGAACAATGGGTCTAAGATGAGAGGCTGGAGGTTCTTCAGCCTGGGAGACGGGAAGGGCCTCAGACTAGTGGGCTGGATGCACGGCTGATCTTTCTAACACCCACCAGCTCTGCTGGGTCCACTCCCCCTTCTCTAGCCTCCTGGGCACCCAGCTGTGCTGGTCACCAGGGTCTGTGTCCCCACAGTGGTGAGGAACCTGTGTCAAGCACGTACTATTTCTGGGCCGGTTTCTGTGTCTGCTTTTGTTCCCCGTCCCCCCACACCCCCTCCTTCGTTTCTCAGGAATGTTTGGTTGAAAAATTCCAATCTTGTTCCAGCTGAACTGAGAGGAAAGGGGCTTTGGCCAAATGTCAGCTGGAGGATTGCAGGAGCTGGGCC